GAGGATCTATTTAAGCAAGGAGAGACCGCGGGAGTGGCAGACTGCTTTGGGGAATTTGCGTAGGTTTAGCCTGAGCACAATAGGCTTTTATTACGGCAAATAAGCCCGAAGGAGGTGAAGGTTGCCATTTTATACATGCACCCTGAGAAAGCTCCGGGATCAGATGGTATGAATCCATCTTTCTTTCGGAATTTTTGGGATATGGTTGGCCGGAAAATTGTTAGACTTTGCTGAAATATTTTTGTTACGGGTGTTATCCCAAAAGAGCTTAATGTGACTAATCTTGTGTTAATACCTAAAAAGAGAAGCTTGAAGTTATGGGGGGCTCGAGACCTATAGGTTGAAAGACTTTGTAATGGGGTTTATAAAAAAATTCAAAGGTCCTAACCAACAGGTTGAAAGTTTGGCTAGGGAATCTAATAGGTGAAAACCAAAGTGCTTTTGTCCCGGGATGGTCAATTGTGGATAATGTGATTGTTGCATTCGAAATCCAGCATTTCCTGAAACGAAAATGTCATGGCAAAGAGGGACGTGTGGCTTTAAAGCTTGACATGAGCAAGGCCTATGACAGAGTGGGGTGGGAATTTCTGCGTGTGATTATGCTTCGTATGGATTTTGATGGGAGTTGGGTGAGCATGATTATGGAATGTGTTTCAATAGTCACTTACTATATATAGTTTGAGAGGGACTTACGTTCTTGGGACCTGTTATGCCAGGGCGAGGCTTAAGGCAGGGCGATCGTTTATCTCCATACCTTTTTATTATTGTGGTCGAAGGGTTGAGTGCTCTTTTGAAGAAGGCAGAAGCTCGGGGAGAAATTCATGGGGGTGGCGGTGTGTAGGGGTGCACCACGTGTCTCGCATCTTTTATTTGCGGATGATAGCTTCTTATTTTTCAGGGCTTTAATGAGAAGGCACTGGTTGTAAAAAATATTTTATCCATTTATGAAGAAAACTCAGGTTAGACTGCGAATAATACAAAGTCTGTGCCATCTTTCAGCAAAAATGTGGGGGAGCAATTTAAATATGTCTGTTGTAATATGTTTGGCATACAAAAAGAAGGGGGCATAATCGGTATTTCGTCCTACCGTCGCTGGTGGGTAGAAACATGACAATTATCAAAAAGATAAAATATTCAACAGAATTAAATATTGGAATAACATATTCTTATCCAGAGCAGGTAGGGCGGTTCTGTTAAAAAATATTGTTCAAGTTATGCCCAATTACGCTATGAACGTTTTTCTCCTTCCAAATAATTTATGTGATGAGATAGAAAAGCTAATGAATGGCTTTTGGTGGAGGGGAACAAAATTTGAACAAAAAGGATTGCGGTGGAGGAGATGGGAGGTGATGTGTAAGCCGAAAAATATGGGGGACTTGGGATTCCAATGGATAAAGGAGTTTAATTTGGCGATGCTGGCAAAGCACGAATGGAAACCAGTAACAGAGACTTCTAGCTTGATGAGCCGTGTGTTGAAGGCCAGGTACTTCCCAAATTTGACTTTTTGCATGCCCAATTGGGTAATAACTGCTCTTTTATCTGGCATAGTATTTTTGAGACACAAACTATTGTTTAAAATAATATTCGGAGGAGAGTGGGAAACGGGGTTGAGGTTCAGGTGTGGGCAGATATGCGTGGCTCCCGGGAGAAGGGATCGGAAAAATCAATTCAGCAAAACCAATAGAAATAAGAGATATAAAGAGAGGATTACTACCTTGTGTTAACGAGGATGATTGGAAAAAGATTTTTGGGCATTCCCATTAGTTTTCAAGACAGGAGAGATGGTTATTGGTGGCAAGGGGAAAAGAGTGGTGTATTCTTAGTTAAAAGTTGCTACTAGGAATCATTTGCTCACAGAAGAAGTAACCGCGGGAGATGGTACGAACTGGGCTCGATTGTGGGACCTTTGTATCCCCCCGAAGCTCAAATATTTTGCTTGGCAGGTTATTGACGGATCTTAACCCACAATGGATAATTTAAGAAAAAAAGGTGTGCAGGTGCAAGAAGGGTGCAAGGGTTGTGGCAGGGGGTGAATCTTTGGATCATGCGGTCCTAGTTAGTTAAACACGGTACGAGAATTAAACGCGTTTTAATACGTATGCGTTTTATACGATAACATGAATGAAAAAACGGTCAATAATTCGTTGAAAATAGTTTATAATTGCATAAGTCGACGACAAACATGAAAATAGTAATTAAGTTCAAGACATAGTATTGCAAACTAATGCCAACAAATAAAGCATAATAACAATAGAATGAGACTAAGTTAAATTATTATCTTTATATGATCATCAAATAACACTCAAGTCAAACTTATTGTTGGATCGATCCCACAGCCGGGAGACGGCCTACCGACATTGTCCGCTTTGGGTTGCCCCTCACGGTTTTAAAATGCGTCAATAGTGGTGAAGAGCCTAGGCCTTATAAGGTACCAAGGACTCTCCTAGCCCACCGGTGTGGGATTCTTTGGCATTCCTACCGAAGAGGCGGGTTTAAGATGCGCGAGTTTCCCTAGCTCAAGGGACTGGTAGGCCCATACCTAACAATTGTTGGATCGATCCCACAGCCGGGAGACGGCCTATCGACATTGTCCGCTTTGGGTTGCCCCTCACGGTTTTAAAACGCGTCAATAGTGGTGAAGAGCCTATGCCTTATAAGGTACCAAGGACTCTCCTAGCCCACCGGTGTGGGATTCTTTGGCATTCCTACCGAAGAGGAGGGTTTAAGATGCGCGAGTTTCCCCGGCTCAAGGGACTAGTAGGCCCATACCTAACAATCCCCCCACACCGGTGCCGCCCCCTGGCTGTGATACCAATTGTTGGATCGATCCCACAGCCGGGAGACGGCCTACCGACATTGTCCGCTTTGGGTTGCCTCTCACGGTTTTAAAACGCGTCAATAGTGGTGAAGAGCCTAGGCCTTATAAGGTACCAAGGACTCTCCTAGCCCACCGGTGTGGGATTCTTTGGCATTCCTACCGAAGAGGCGGGTTTAAGATGCGCGAGTTTCCCTGGCTCAAGGGACTGGTAGGCCCATACCTAACACTTATCAATTTCATCAAGATGACATATGAGAAAACTTATGCAACTGTTACATTTATTATTGTTTATGTGTAAAAGTTTATACAAAAACATGAAAGATTTATAAAAAAATTAATTTTGATATGCTTGTTTGAAAAACATCAGAAATCTAGTAGTATTTTAAGTTCTACGAGTAGTTTTTAAGATACTAGATTTAGTTGTCATGCAATTAATTGTATATATGGTGTAGTATTTAATAATTGTATTCTAACAATACAAAAACAAGGGGTCACATGGAAAATCTTTTTCTTTTTTACTTTTAAACTATTGTTGATCTTCTATGCACTTAATACATTAATTCAATTGATCAATTCATATTTTTATTTTTTGTAAAATACGGGAAAAATACGTTTTTATACGGGAAGTAGGATTTTTCCCCTTTAAACGGACCGACATTATTTTTCATTTTGAAAGTGTTTTTTACTCAAAAAAAACTGTATACGCTTAAAATGCAAAAAAGCTAACTAGGCATGTGGTTCGCTCTTGTGGTCAGGTCAAAGAAGTATGGCAGCAGGCAGGCGTCAACTTGGGGCAGGCATCGGATCCAACAAGTATGTGGATATAGCAGCAGCTTGGGGTGGCAGACAGTGAAACCCGCTGCAGGTTCATCTCTGTCTTATGGAGTATATGGAAGAAAAGGAATGGGTGCGTTTGGAAGGACAGGTGGCAAGGCACAACGGGAGTCCTCAATGCGACGGCCGGAGTGGTTACGAGCTGGAGGGATGCACATGAAAGGAGCAAGAAGGGGACGAGAAGGAGTAATATTAGCTCGCTGGCGGCTTGGCAGAGACCGAAGAATGGCTATATTAAAATGAATGTTGATGGAGCGGTTGATCAAGAAGGCAATACTCAAGCTTGGGGATGTGTAGCAAGGAAAAATCACGGAGATTTTGTCAAGGCGAGAGGCGTGTCCGAGCTAGCTAGTTGGGCACGGGGGGAAACCGAAGCAATGGGAGGTCGAGATGCTATATTTTGTGCGACAGAGGAAGGATGGACTCACATGTAGATTGAGATAGATGCACTTAACGTGGTCCAGGGGCTCAAAAGGTGGGGTGACTCTTCTTACTTTCATCTTATTCCGGATGATATAAGGATTTTTTTGAAAACAAAGAGTAATTTTATTATATTTTTTTTGTAATCGATCTGCGAATCGTGTTGCTCACGCGTTATCTAGAACACATGTTGTGATCTCATATCAGATTTGTTACTATGATTCTATACCTGGGGTTATTGTAAACCTCCTAGCGAATGGTTTGGTGAATTAATATATTTGTTAGTTAGAGCTAAAAAAAGTGTTTCACATTTTTAAACGATAAATGTCAAATGTCAATATCTTGCAAATCATAATAAAATCTAGCATCTAACATCAACTTTCTAGAATTAAAAATTAAGAACTAAACAAAATATTATATTTAACGATTAATGAATTAAGAATTAAGAAATAAATAAAATATTATACTAGTACTTAATAATTACTGGGCACAAGAGCCCCCACTCGAAGTGACGGTTTTTGTGCTGTAAGAGAAGAGCCGTCACTCGAAGTGACGACTTTTGTACTATAAGAGAAGGACCACTATTCGAAGTGGTGGTTTTAGTATGAAGAACCGTCACTTGAAATGACGACTTTCTTTAATCACGGTTAATCCCAACAGTATTTTGGAATTATTTTAAACTTATTTATTTAATTAGTACTATTCCGGAAAAGAATGTGATTAAACAGCCGAATTGACAGAATTTGCAGAAATCTGAAAAAATGATTTATTACTTTGAAAATAAAAAGCTACGTAATTAATAAAGCTGATAAACATTAAAGGGAGGAGGTTAGTATTAGAATATCTTCAACGGGACGTTTAAGTAAATAACACGTCAGAGCTAATCTTTCTGATTATGAAAAGAAAAACGGGCGTTTTCGTCCATACAGCGGCCTCCAATTTGCGTGATACGCGTCCCTAAAGAGGCCATTATTCTATCGCCATAGCCGACCTCTCTCCTCCCTTAAATCTCCCCAAACCCATACTCCTGCCTCAACCCCTTCCCGATCTCTCTCTATCAATCTCTCGAATTCCATTTCCTCTCTCCATCCCCTTCAATTTGCCGATCAGTTTCTGTTCTTGTGGCCAGGAAAATGGTACAGAAGACGGAGAAAGAGGAGACGGAGTTCAAGGTCGTGCCGGAGACCATCACGCCCTGCGCCAACAACTGCGGCGTCACCGGCAATCCTGCCACCAACAACATGTGCCAGAAGTGCTTCGCCGCAACCGCCCTGTCCACATCCAGCTCCGTCTCTGGTTCCTCGGTGGCGATTCCGCTCAAGTTCGCCGAGAAACCCCCCAGATCTACCTTCCGGAGGTCGTCCCCTGCGAGACTGGTTCCAGATCTGAACAAACAGGCCCCGCCGGAGAAGACCGATGAGAGAGGCGATGACGTCTCTGCATCTCCTGCCAAGAGGGAGGTGAATCGATGCTCCGGATGCCGGAGGAAGGTCGGGTTGACCGGGTTCCGATGCAGGTGCGGAGAGCTGTTCTGCGGAGAGCACCGGTACTCCGACCGACACGATTGCAGTTACGACTACAAAGCCGCCGGCCGAGATGCCATCACGAAGGAGAATCCTGTCGTTAGAGCTGCGAAAATCTTCAAACTTTGAAGGATGCGTATGTACTGGAAATGAAATCGGATTCGGAAGGCAACTAGAGATCGGACGGAGATCTCATCGATCTCTGCATCCCTCTGCAGCTGTAAGCGTGATAGATGATGATTCCCACAAAAGTGATCCAGGAGATTCGTATTTAATTGTTGTGATCATAAAAATCTTGCTTTTCCGAAGGTTTATTCATGTATAATTTGAATTCACTTGATTTTTTTTACATTTCCCGGTTGAATGATAGTTTAAGAATTAATTAAGACAAGGATTGTTGCATCACGAATTCGAATTAATTTTAATAGCAATGATTGTGCGGAAGAACGAATTTCTATTTATTCGCTGAATTCAGATTTGCTTATTGAAATGATATTATTCAGAATTAAAGATCTGAATTTGTCATTTCTGCAAACTCTTTCTTTCTTTTGTTCGGTTCCTGATGATGATGATGATGATACGCCGAAGCTAAGAAAGAGAGAGAAGACGGGGAACGGGTGATGGAGACAGGTTGGGTGGGGTGAATTAGGTGGGGCGTTTGGGCAACCTTGTCATGGCCTGTTCGTGGGGCCCATTTCATGGGAATGGAACATAGGAACCAATAGGAACATAGCGGACTAAATGAGGTTTAATTGTAATTTGTAAGCGTACTTCGTTTTTTCCCCTCACAAAATATCATCTTTTTACATCAAGATTTCGTAAAGTAACGAGCTTAAAGACTAAAAATGAAAGTTATTTTGACTAATCCCCCAAAAAATTATGGTACGGACTTATGATTAGTCAAAGCAACTTCATTTTTTATTTAGAGATTTTTTATTTAGAGGATACGCGTTAGTTTTGTCCTTTTTTTCTTTTAACTGATCAAAGATTCAAAAGCAACGTGTCATGTTTTGTTTTGGACACTTTTTATCGACTAGACTTTCATAGTTACTCCCTCCGTCCCTAAAAAGATTGCCAAGTTTGACCGACGCGTAGAATAATAAAGTAAAAATTGTGTGGTAGAGATTTGTGCAGACGAGAGAGAAATAATCGGAGCCACAAATTGATTGATTAAAAGAGAAAGTGACAATGTTTTTGGGACAATAAAAAAAGGAAAATTGGCAAAGTTATAAGGGACGGGGGAAGTATAAAATACACAGAGATTAGATATTTATTAGATCAGCCCATCAATTTTCGCTCCAAAAGAAAACGTTTGTAGTAGCTTGAATTTTTATTACCGTGACAACACAGTGCGATTTCTTTACTACTCCGTATTTAAATGGGATAAGGATCAGACACTATGTTTATGTGAGAATCTCACAATTGGACATCAAGATTTTAAATACATCAAATTGTACCTTATGTTTACATGAGAACATCCTAATAGACATTAAGATTTCAAATGAATCAAATTGGACACTGAAGTTACATGTGTAACTTATATTAGACACTAAAGTTTGATAATGCATAATTTTTGGACACACACTTATGACTTTTTTCTTCCTTTAATAAAAATCGCTAGTCTTATTCTTCCTTTCCTTTTCGGGGAAAATAAACTTGTTTAACTTATGTATATAATTTCAGAAAATATAATTTGATTTTAATTAATAACTTCTTATATTTAACAACTTAAAAATATATTTAGAACCTTTCATTCATATGATTTATATGGAACTTTGAGAAATATCGGTTTGTTAAATTGATTTAACAATTTTAAAGAATTCAGTTACATTATAATAGATTTTCTTAATTGGAACATCTAATTATATATTCTTAATCTAAATACATGAATTAAGTTACTTTTAATTTTTAGGTACATAAAACAAAGGGAAAAGGAAAACTTATAACTTTCAAATGTGAAAAAATCTTTGATGGGTGTCCAAAAATTATCGGAAAACGTTAAATTTGATTCATTTCAAACTTTAGCGGCCAATATGAGATACACATGTAACCACAATGTTCAATTTGGTCCATTTGAAACATCAGTGTCAACTATGAGATTCTCATGTAATCATAATTAATGCCAAAATGGAAAATCTTCATTGATCGGGTAACAAACTTGGAGCGGTAATACCTTTTTTATTTTTATGGGTAATGGCACGATACGGTTTTATACATGTTAACCTCGTATCTGCATCATTTATTTTTACTTAAATTTTAATTCCATTTCTTCCTATTATGCTATTATTATTATTATTATTATTATTACTATTATTATTATTATTATTATTATTTGTCCTACACCAAAAAAGATGAGATTTTTTCATCTGTATTATCTATATATGAATGCAATGTATGTACTCACTACGATGTGCGAAAGAAAGCATATACTTCCTCTGTTCCAATTTAATGTTCCCATTACTTTTGGGCACAAAGATTAAAAATGAGTGTGAAATATCCAGAATTGCCCTTATTTCTTTATCATTTCATTTCTTCCAAAGACCGAGTGGCCTTCGTCTTTCTTTTCCGGTAGCCGCGACGGCGCATGCATGATTGACCCAGAGCATCTTCTATTATACAAAAGGAAGAGAAAAAATGAACAGTGTTCCCGCCCAAAGTTATGGATCAAAAACGGGTCGGGTTGGTTTTACATGGGTGCAAAACGGGTCATGTGGCTGGCCCAATGTTATTTTTAATGCTGGCCCAATACTCAATGCTCCAGTTGTGTGGCTCGAGGCTTTGCTGCCTGAATCCATGCTCTGCCATCTACAGAATGGAAGTGACTACTTTGTACTTTATTTGATGTTAAGGTCGAGTGCATTAAAAACAACATTAAGCAGGCCCGGTATCCTATGCTTCCAGTTTGAATTATTGGTGCCTTTATGAATTAAAAAGCACCCTAATGCGTACTTATTAATCTTGAGCCCAATGTCCAATGCTTTATTTTGTGTGGCTCAAGAAACAATAAATGCATTGAGCTCTAATCAATAAAAAAGAACCTTGAGCCACACAAACATTTAATGAAGTGTACTTTTGTATATTAAAGTTCTGATTGCATATGAAAAAGGATTAAATGGATTGTACTTTAATAGCTTTAGTTGTGAGTATATTAAAAAAAAACTGTGCAGCCGAAAACATTTATTGCATACAACATCATTCTAAAATCCATTGGTTAAAACATAACAGTTAATAGATCTTAAAGGGCTATAAATACCACTTCGCTTGAAGGTTTAACACCAAAACTCAGCCACTCTGCTTGGCAAATAAGCAATTCCGATCAGGTATCATCTTAAAACTTCTTTAAGGTAAACTGCATTTCATTGCATCTCTTCTGGTAGTGTTTATCTAAGGTCAATATTTATATTTATATTTAAATATATTCACAGGGAGGGCAGATTTATGCTCCAGTGAAAAGGCCACAAGTTGGTAAGTAAAGGTAAAAAATAAATCAGCAGGTTAAATATACAAGTTTTTTTATCATAAACAAGAAGTTTTCTAATTATTAAACAAAAAAAGAATGGACACAATAGAGCAACCTTTATTGATACGTATCCAATGTATCAATATTTTATTAATGCAGACATAACTCATGGGGACAGAGGGAATGAATCAGGGATGGGTAAGCACAATGACATATCTTTATTAATTTTTTGCTAAATTTTTTTGGGATAGATTAATTAATGATTGTCAAATTTCTTTTGCAGGTTACATACTCCGTATATTCTAACAAAAATCGAGAAAAACTATCAAAGAGAGTGATTATTTAAAACAAATGGTTTTATTTCGGGAATGAAATAAATGTTTATTCCAAGAGATTCAGTTAACACATGTTCTGTAAAATGATTAACCCAAAATATATACGTTTTTATAAAAAATAAGAGTTACTGAAATGACAAAATGATATTGATAAGGAGGTTCATACCTGCCTTTGAAACTGCAAAATCTTAGAACCTGCATATCGTATATATTTTAAACTAATTAATGATCCATTTTCCTAATGAATATTACATAACTGGCAACCTTATTAAGGTCCCAAAACCTATTAATGGTACATTTTCTATACAATAACCTAATAACTAAAAATAAGAGAAAGACATCTAGCTTGGCCAACAAACCTGCACGATTTATGGTGAATAAGATTCCAAAATAATAAAAAAATTAATTACAATATTGCACAATGTTTGGCTTTATGTGTTATGCTTCAAAATTTTTTAAGAGACGTCTTTCAAAAAATTAAAATATCAATGTTTGCTCCACTTTACTTTGAAGTGCAACTTCTTCATTGCTGAAACTTCAGACATCTAATTAATATCAGTGAACACATTTCTTAAAAACTGTCACACAATCAATGAGGATAAAAATCAAAACACATCTAACTTTTAAAAGTCTTTAAAGAATATATTTCTTAGAGACATGTCTTAAGAAAGAAATGAAACCATTATTCTTTAAGAGCAAGATTGCTCTTCAAGATTTTGAGCATATTTATGTTTCCCTTTATATCTATGTTGGCTTAATATATTAAGGACCAGGTATTTCAGTTTTGAAATAACAATATCATACATTAGCAGTGACCTGTAGAACATAGATTACACTTTTAGCTACATCACCACATAAATCTGTTGGTTTAAAAATGTATTTTTTAACCGTAGATGAATAATAAGTTCAAAATTTTTGAATGTATTTATGTAAAATGCACTTTAATGTTTCAAAATAGATTGCTTCAAATTTGTGGCACTTTAAGAACAACAGGAATGATGCTATAACAACAGCATGGATGATGTTAGGGACATGGATATATGTTATCATAATTTATAGAATAAACCTAGAGGTTGAAGTACAATTTTACTTAATTTCAATCATTTCAAATCACAAAACAGTCCTGTGTTCTATAATTTTCACTATAGGATATCTCACTTTAATTAATTGTTCAAAAATAATTAAAAGCTCTTCATTTCAGAATTTGTGGCACAGGACTATAAGATATCTCACTTTCATGAAATATGTTTGTTTGTGTCTATCATAAAACAGAAATAATGGACGGGGTATCCGATATTATGACAGATCTGTACCCCATAATGATAATTCCAGACAAATTTGTTATTCCATCACTGATTTATTATATGTTTTCAAAAAACAAGAGATTTATACACAACCCACTTGATTAAAAATAGATTTTTGTTAATCCAGACCTCAAATACTCAAAGAAATCTTATAAATGCTCGGTCAATTAAACTAACTGAGCAGATTTACAAAATGGTGTAAACCCTTTTGCCTAAGCTTAAAGAGTGAAAACATGTATGACAAGTAGGAATGAAGAAAAACGACAACCATTTTTCAGACAAGAAAAACAACATCATCAAATCAATCTAAAATGTGATAGTAATTGAAGATAAGCACACAAAATCAAAAGTAAGAGAAAATAGTAATTTTAACCACTCAAAAAATTAAATGTGTAAGACAAAGAGGAAGGGGATATAACCAAATTGGGAGAGTAAAGAGCACATGGTCTGAGAAAATATAATGGTCGGATATGAAATAATTCCAGCCACCGTAGAAATTTCTTAAACCACCATCGAAGTTCCAACGATCGGATAAGGAAGCGGCTAACACCGAATAGCACAGATTTCACGATTTCATCATAAGTAGTGTGGGATTGGGGGCTAATATTCGATGATGGATGATAAACGAGGTTCAACT